TCCTACTATAATTTAATGGTCAATCCAATGTTATAAAATATATAAATAGTAAACTTTAAAAAACACATGTAAAATATGTAAAAATAATAATTTGAGAAAATATCAAATGGTTTTATATAAAAGTATAAATAAAAATTTAAGAAAAATATCAAAATATTATACTAAAAAAACAATAATTTGATGAAGAATTGATTTTTAAATAGCTTATATATATATATATATATATTTAATTTAAAAATAAAAATTTCCCCCCCTAAATTTCTCTTTATTTCAATTTTTTTCTTATCATTTTCTTTGTAGTTTGACCTTTTATTATTCTATAAGATATTATTAATCTTAAGATAATATTTACATATGTTTAAACATCTAAATACGAATACATAAAAAAAAATTTGAAATTAAATAATTTCAAAATAGATAGATAAATTAAATATCAATATAATATTTACGTTTAATATTAAACTATATTTATTTAATAGAAATAATGTCAATAACATTCTCCAAACCCTAATTCTATGAATGTTTGTCGCCTGGTTTACATAACATTTTGGCTATCGTTCTCATCATTTGTCTGGACATCTTCTCATGCTTCTTGTGAATTTCAAGAAGTTCTTATAAATTTATTTTTAAGTTTTTGGACATTTTTTTTAGAATTTTTTGGATCATACATATAAGATCTTTTAAATCTATTTTGTTTGTATTGTTTGCGGACTTCTCCGTTAGGTGTTCAAATAGCATTTGCATAATTTCGTTTTCATGATTTTTCTTATGTTGCTTCTCAACTTGATCATTCATTTTCTTAATCCCTTCTTCAAGAAATGCCTCCTGGTTCACCATCTTTTTGTTGTGATCGATTACAGATATATTGTTGAAATCCGTCAGGACTTGGTGGACTCCCATTTCAGAAGGCAAAACCTCAAGCTTCATACTGTAAAGATTATAGATGATTACACTTGCATTAACTCCACATAAAGTGGTCGATTCGCTTACCTTCTTCGGTAATTCCTTCATCCTTTTGTTGAAGGTTTCCTTTCTGGCTTTATCATTGATTATAAAAACGATTTTTTTCTGCTTCTTGGCCATGCTTGGTAGGGAAAAAGTGATATTGAAATAAAGTTGAAAGTTTTTTTTTTTGGTTTCATAGTCTGTAGAACTAAGGGTATATATAGTTTTAAAGTGATATCTAAATTATTTACTATAAAATCTAATTAGTTATATGTTTATATTGTGCAGATCTGTTAACGATTTATTTAAAAAATTTATAAAATAAAAAAATATCATAATTGAGAAAATTACACATTGCAATTGTAATAAAAAAAATTAGATATACGATAATTGAGAAAAATAAGAAAGTATTCTGTAACACCCAAAAATTTGCATTTTATTTTATTT